CAATTTCGCCCTCAGCCTGGAGTTGCAGTGCCCGGCTGTGCTGCGTTTTGACACAGTGGAGAGCTTCCTGGAGGTGGTGGGAGACGGCACTGGCCTCAGCAAGGCGTCTGTGTTTTTTTGTTTAAATATAATACATTTCCTCATGATTCTCTTACCATCTTGTTTTTGTTATGAAAATAGGTCATTAACAAATATTTATCATCTTAGTTTTTCATTAGAACTATTAGAACACACATACACATGAGCAGCAGGGAATTAGTGCGTTAGGTAGCAGTGCTGTGTGTGACTTACACGCTGATTAAGTGGTGGGTGATCTATTTGCCTGACATCGATTGATTTAGTTTCAGCACCGCGGTAGTGGACAGCTCCTGTTAAGAGCTTCTTAAAGAACGATCTTAAGTATGCAGAGAGTGAAAAGAAAGCAATAATTTAAAAAGTTGCCTCTACTGAAAATACGTTAAATCTCTGATTCAATTTGAAAGCTATTTTTCAAGACAAGTTATATATCTGTAATTACCTTGTCCGCTTTCATTCTGTATATCTCTTAACAGGAGCTGGCCACTACCGCGGTGCTGAAACTGAATTAATCGATGTCAGGCAAATCAATACTTATTTTCGTTTTATTATTATTTTTCTTCCGCCAGATTTTGGTGCGTAACTTGTGCCACAGCTTTGAGCGCACATAGGGTCTTCATAAAACATATAGATACAAGATTCATAGATTTATATTGTTTAGCATTAATTGGTGACAGAAAAGAACGAATTTCATTCTACAGGGAAACACGTTTCCTTACTGTGCATATGACAATAAACACTTTGAAGCATTAGTTAGGGGACAAGAGCCAAGAGTCACAAAGACTCACGTATGTTAAAAGTTACTTACAACCGGTGTATTTACTGTATGTGAGTCCTTCGCCTGTGGAACGAGTAACATGACCACTAACTTGTCCCAACTAACACGTTTCTGTTAGGCGTATGTGTTTCACTAATGTTCTTTATGTGTTATGAAGAATGTCAGACTGGCCAGTCAGTGGCAGAGTTGGGCCCGGAGTCACAAATAGCGCATTTCGACTGACACAGAACCGACATGGTGCCGGTTCCCGAACATAATTAAGTAGGCTACTTACAACGGCATGAAAGACAATAATAACAACACTACAGTTTAAAAGGAGATCTCGCCAGCTTTATACAAGTTTACGTTGGTCACTGATCAATGTGGGCATCTAAGAGGAAGTGACAATGGTGGCTCATAGGAATCCAAAACGTTATTGCAAGGGAATGCAAAACTATTGCGAGGAGACACAAAAGTATTGCGAGGGAACTCAAAATTTATTGTGAGGGAATGCAAAAAGTATTGCGAGGGGATGCAAAAGTCAGTCCAAAAAAAATCTCCCAACTTGACCTTTAAGGGGCTCCGTACTTATGTAAACTTATGTAAACTTATGTAAAAGAGATAATCTTCATCCAAACAAAATGGGCACACATTTGCTGACAGAAAATTTTGTTTCTTTTATTAATACCCGGTCCTGCTGACTATTCAGTGCATTCCCCTCCAAACAGTGTCTAGATGACTCAAAACAGAATGAGATAACTGCCATTTGTGGTAGAAGACCAACCACTGTGGATAAAGTTCAGCAGCAGTTATTTTCAACTCCTGTCATATTCAACTTAATCAAAATTCTGTGCCTTCCATTGTCAGCACAACCCAACCAGTTGCGGCCAGCTCTTCTTAGTATGAGATCAATGGTAAATAAATCTTTCTTATGTAATAACTTTATTCTGTCAAATGACCTTGATCTATTCATAATCACAGAACCCTGGCTGTCACAAGATGACCCCGTCCTCCTACTTAAAGCCTGCCCTCCTGGTAACTGTTTCTTAAATCAGCTCAGAAAATAAGACAGGAGTGGTGGGGTTGCCCATAATTACAGAGGAATAATAATTCAGATGCTCGAGCATGGATCTTGGTCTTTTTAGCACTTTCAAAACCCTTCCTTTTATAATTAAAGGAAAATCACCATGTTTGTGTTTGATAATATATAGACCGCCTAAATATGTTTCCCCTTTTATCATGGTAAATGGACCTGCATATGTATAGTGCCTTTCTAGTCATCTAACCACTCAAAGTGCTTTTTAGAGTAGGAGTCACATTCACACACACATTCATACACTGGTGGCCAAGGCTACCATACAAGGTGCCCCCTGCTACTCAATTTTTAACAAACTCACACACCAATGGAAGCATCGTGGAGCAATTTGGGGTTCAGTATCAAGGACAGTTCGACATGACTGGAGGAGCTGGGGACTGAACTGTTGATCTTCTGATTGGGGGATGACCCGCTCTACCTCTGAGCCACAGCCGCCCCAGTCAGTGAGTTTGCTGAGCTGCTCTCTGAAACGCTGCCTTGTCTGATCAGTTGCTCATTCTTGGTGATTATAATGTGCATGTCTGCTGACCCTCTAACCAACTGGACCAGGAATTTCAAAACCTTTTAGTGTCTTTTAACTTAGCATGTGGTTGGACTAATCTACAAACACAAAAGGTCATTTTGATCATCTCTCATTATCTTATGGTATAGAATGTGAAGATATCTTTTTCTTATCTTTTTTTTTATGTTTAATATTGTGTTATCTAATTATTATATTACTGTTTTTATTTGTCCCCCTGTTCCCAAAAAAAGATCTAGAATTTTTAACTTATTCTCTGCTGCTAAATTAAACACTGCCTTCAACTTCTTTACGTGTCAATCTGACAAGTGAGCTGCAAAATAATTTTTATAGTTCATGTTCCACTTCATTAGATAAAATTGTAAAATGAAAAATCTAGTCGGGTCTCGACTTTTTATGCAGAGGTTAAAAATTTAACCGCATATTTTGCCCCTTTAATTGAGAAAGATCAGTTAAACCCCAGAATGTTGTTGACATTGTGGGCCATGTCATGAATCCTCCTATGGGCAAGATTTTAGATGCCACCCCTAACAAATGCAAAGAATTTATTTCCTTCTTTTTTTTTAAAGATATTTTTTGGGGCATTTTTTTGCCTTTAATGGACAGGACAGTTAAGTGTGAAAGAGGGAGAGAGAGAGGGGATGACATGCAGCAAAGGCCCACAGGCTGGACTTGAACCCAGGCCGCTGCGGCAACAGCCTTGTACATGGGGCGCCTGCTCTACCACTAAGCCACCGACACCCCAAGAATTTATTTCCTTCTTCACTAAAAAGATCACAAATATCAGACGTTGCATCTCTCCTCCAGATTCCCCAGTCATAGTTTACCTGACTATGGTCAGTATCTCTCTGTTCATTTGCTCCTATTTCATTAACCTCTTTCTGATCTGGTAATCTGGTAGCCTGTATTTTAGATATTCTCCCTGTAAATTTTTTAAAGGAAGTTTTAAACACAGTTTACCCCTATGTTTTACAAATTTTAAACTGCTCTCTATCAACTGGTTCTGTTTCAGATTTTTTAAGTCCAAATTACATTAAATTAAATCCATTCTTGTCCTGCTTCATTTAAGTGACACATTCAACGCTACTGACCATGACATCCTTTTAGACTAACTCCAAACCTGGGTAGGTATCAATGGCACAGCTCTACAATGGCTCAGGTCATACCTAACAAACAGGCATTTTGTGTGGATATTGCCGACACCAGGTCTAGTTTAACAAATGTCCACTGTGGAGTGCCCCAGGGGTCAGTGCTAGGTCCGATTCTATTTTCAATTTACATGCTCCCTCTTAGACTCACAAGTCAGTCTTCAGACGCTCTGCTTAACAAAAAACTGATGTATTTCTCCCTGATTTTGTGTTTAGATGGGCGGATACAATTTCAGAGTTTAAAAAAACTCCCTACGTTGCAGAACCAATAGTAAATCCGCAGGGCAGTCCTTCGGTGGCTCGCTGAACTCTTGTGCTCGTAAACATAGTCGCTGTACGTCCTTCATTTCCACAATCTTGTGGACTGAGCACACATTTGATAAAACGGAGTTAAATTTCTCGGCATCCATTTTCAAGCTCACTGTGTGTTTGTTTCCTTGCTGATGAGAAAAGGGTGAGCACACATTTCTGGGAGGGCGTGTCATTTTAAAAAATGCAGGAGGCGTTGCTTTGTTGCCAGCCGTTTTCTCCGGTGTGTTAAACACACTTTAGAAAGGAGTGTCCCCAGACTATCAGAAGGCGGAGATCTCTGATTATCTGGGGGCGAGACTAGCTCCCTCTTGGCCATCTTATACGTAGGCAAAATATAAGTTTCCATTTGAATGCAGATGATACTGAGTTCTGTTTAAGCTGGGATCCAACAAATAACTATCAAAACATGATTAACCTGCTAAATTGCCTTCATGACATTCATAAGTGACAAGACAAAATTTCCTGCAGCTTAATGCTGCAGGAAGACAGAGATACTGATCATAGAACAAGATAGCACAAACTTTCAAATATCAAAGTCTTGATTCTCTGTCCCACTCAATAATTCCACATTGCAGAAATCTCAGGGTCATTTTTGATCATATGCTCAGTTTAGACAAACATGTAAATTCAGTAGTTCAATCCGGCTTCCACCATCTCAGAAATGTTTCCAGGATCAGATAATTCCTTTCTAACAAACATCTGGAAACTGTTATTCATGCATTACTAACCAGTCGATTACATTATTGCAGTTCCTTGCTCTCTGGCATCAGTAAAAAATCCCTCTCGTGCCTGAATCTTGACTCGGACTAGAAAACATGAACACATCACACTGATCCTGGCTTCCCTACACTGGTTACCTGTTTCTTTTAGAACTGATTTCAAGATTTTATTGATTACCTACAAAGCCCTGAGAGGCCTTGCTCCAAGTTAAATAACAGATCCTTTATTGTCCTACGTTCGTTCTCGCACATGAGATTCTCAGATACATCTTTTCTTGTTGTTCCGAGATCTAGATTAATTCACAAAGGTGTTAGAGCCTTTGCAATTTTTTATCCTCTTCTATTATAATGATGTGTGGAGTGTTTCTCTGACCTGAGGCCAGTTTGATCTCCAGAGCTGTGCGAATTAGGGCCATCAGAGTGGAGGTGAAATGGACACTGTTGTCATCAGCGATGGGCATGTTCATTTTGACGAGGCGCTGAGGGGAGGAGATGAGTGGGGACAGAGAGACTTTAGATCAGTGAATGAGAGCAAACAGCCCCATCAGAACACACAATTCAACCAGAGAAATCATTCTGTGTGCTGCTGTGATCCAACACCCCCCATGGATTCAATGACTTAGCATGAAGTACCTTAAACATGCTCTGCTAATTTTTGTTGAACACATGCAAGTTTGGCCATTTTGATATATGTTACTGAGAATAAGTTCAGCACACAAAAAGCCTTCTCTACAAGTACGTACAGAGGAGACAAACTAGACATTCACATTCACTGCTATTGGCTACAATATGCACTACGCTGCAAGTCAAAGTGCACTGGTGCAAGACTGACATTGACTGAAAAAAAGGTGAGAGTAGGCATGTAATGCATAACCATGAAGGTGCCTCGACAGTCGTAGGAGCTCGACTCTGTGGTTGCCATCCTATCAATTAACAACTTGAAGTTGAAGGGGTTGAGTATGCTATACATGTACAGTGGCAGCTAGCAATAAAGAGTGTCCATTCCACCAAGCTTGGGCAGCCTGAGCAGTTTATATGGGACCAATGACACCACTAAATGCATACAGAACGCTGTGAAATTGTTGTTGTAAGAGTTGAGCTCCCCTGAACACATAAAGCATTCACCTACATGTGCTATCAGTGGCAGTGCAGGAAGTAAGAAAGACCAGAGTCAGAATGAGACAGGGATAGAGAGCTGAGGGGCAAACACACACACATACACACACACACACACACATATATACTTGTATATCCACACCCATTTGCACGTGGTCAAACACTCACCTACACATGTACACACACACACACACACATACAACCACAGGCTGCACAATTAGAAAAAACAACAGTACAAACAGCTAGAAATATCAAAAGTGCAGCAGCTGATTGAGACAGACTGCTTGAATGACTGTATATTTTACTTAAAACAAATTTTTCCTTTTACCCTACCAGCCTAATAGAAGAGTGACAGATACGCTACACTGTGTCCACACAGACTTCATATGATCCCATTTACACCTCGTATTAGCATGCAATCGGCAACTGCATTTGTGATCTGATAATGACATCTGATCACAGACCTTTGCATTTACACCTGGTATTATCACCTTGATTCCACTAACACTGTGAGTAGATCTCAGCATGGTTAGGCAGAGCTGGTGGACTTATCAACACACATGGTGGATCACAACAAAAAATGTGAGAGACAAAGGCCACGTGACAGACCGAGATCAAGGCCATAAAAAAAAAAAAAAAAAAAAGGCCTTTTTCTAAATGTCACAATAATAACAGAATTTGAACATGTGGGTCAAATAAAAAAGTCTCAAAGAGCTTGAACTGAAAATGTTCATGGGCAGTCTAATGGTTAAACTTTATGGTCCCTAAAAGTGGAAGTGGAAAACTTTTTCTGGCACATGCCAAAAAGTGAGCTTTAATTGGAATGAAAGAGGCACATACGAAGTGGCAACGTCCAGGGCTGAGAAACACCTTAGCATAGAATAGCCAAAAACTGCAGTTCTTTGAACAACCACTTGAGGCTAGCTCCAGAAGTCAGTCAATCCCCATAGAGCCCAATGTTAAAATGCCCAACTTTACAGCAGAAATAAACATGTTTACAGCCTGGTATGAAAAAAACAGTTTTGGTTTCTATAGCTAATTTCAACATTCATGTAACTGTACAGTGGGAAGAATTTTTATATAACTCACCCATTTACATTTTATAAAAGCTTAAAGGGACATATAATTAAGGGTGGGCCTCTTTGAGTGACAGGCTGTCTGCTGATAGAGTCCATGGCTTCTCAGTCAGATCCACCTCTCGCTCCTCCACAGCTCCACCCTCTCACCCAGCAATGGCCACTTCTGGCTCCATAACACATAACACGATGGCAACAGCCAAAGTGCTGACCCCAAGGCTTCAAAACAGGAGTTCACAAACCAATGGGTGATGTCATTGTAGCTACATCCTTTATTGTTACAGTCTATGGCATACACACAATATATCCATGAAAGGCATTTGCTGCAAAAAGCTATTTTTCCCTACTGGGATCAATAAAAGTCTTGCCTTAACTTATCTTAATGAGGCGAATGTTACTCAATAATTTAAGAAACTAATCACAGCCAGTGGAAAAGCTTGCCAGGACTGCTGCTAGCTCAACTGTCCCTGTCAGTCATGTAACCCTGGTCACACAGGCCATATCTGTTCCTCAAGAGTCTCTTGATATGCCACTGGATTAACAATCCTATTATTTTATTTCCTGAGGAAGAAGTAGTCTTGAGTTTTTTGATGTGAACTTTGAGAAGGCAGGAAGAGGTATAATAAGGGAAACTTACTTACAACTTGTTGAGCAAACCATGCTCCTAAGACCTGTGTAACCTGACCATTGCTAGATGTTGATGATGGTGATAGCATTCTCATGTGGTTTTCCTGATTCAGATGAGATATCCAGAGACAGATCACATGTTAATATCAGGTGGAAATAGGGTCTATTTCTCATTTCTCTTAATCAAAATATAACCACAAAAGAAATAAATACATAAAATAAAAAATCACATTGACATATTTTTGTCAATGCTGTGCAGGACTAACATTCTAACACACAGACAAACACACACACGCATAAGTACACACAAATCGTTCCAACAGTGGATAGACTGAGATGAGTTGAGAAAAAGAATGAGAGGGAATGGGCAGCAGAGACAGAACCAGTGACACCACACATACAACATATTACTCCCACAGAAAAGCAGTAGAAGCCACACATACACACACCCACCTGCATGTGTGTGCGCGCACACACACACACACACACACACACACACACACACACACACACACACTGCTCCACAAAGTAAAACTCCTGCTAGGGCTTACCATTTAAAGGAGACAATGATAATAGTAATAATAATAATATGTCATAAGGGAGCAAATTTCTTCCATAAACATAATATGTTAATTACCATAACTTTAAGTCTGCTTAGTTAAGCTCTATGTTATTAAGAAACAGTAATGACAGTAAGGATGAAGTAGGGCCTTACACAAAAAAATATCAGGGAGCTAGCAAAACAAAGAGAAGGAACGTGGGAAAACTGCAAAACACACACTTTGGCTTGTGGTCACGCCAATGGGAGAAAGATTGTTGAGCACAGGGAAGATGGAGGAAGAGGAGGGTCTACCTTGTGGGCGACTCTTGGCGGACATTTCTTTCCCAAACCTAAGGGTGGGGACATGTGGAGCAGCATCTGATACATATCGAGGTACTTGATACGGCCACTTCACAGGGTAGGAAATCAAAAATAAACAAAATGCAAACAGAGAAGGATGGGGAGTTAGAGGAGGAGGAACAAAGGGAAGAAACCAACAAAACAAGAGAATAATGGAAAGGAAAGACAGAAATCTGTTATTAGATTTCCTAGAGTGAGATGTAAGATGGATGTCATCCCCAGCAGTTGAGTCGGGGCACAGGGATGCATCGCTGTGGAGCTCAGGATCCCTGACAGGAAACATGGGATGGTAAATAGTGAGTCCGTTGGGAGAGGGGAGGAGGGGAGAGAAGAAGGGAAGATGGGTTGATCCAACACACAGAATGCTGATGGGAGGGAAGAGAAATGACAGCACTGTAACTGGGATGTCAGCCTTAGCATGCTAGCAAACATCCCACTGGTACTTCAAACAGGGTGCACAGAGACAAAGATTTCAATGCCAGGCAAAGCTTTGGTTAGCATAGCCTGGCTTTCCTTTTGGTGGACATCTTCATAAAAATATCATATTACATTCTTCATAAGGCTTTTGATCTGATCTTTTAAAGATCTGAATGTCAAGTCAAATAAATTTTTACTTTTACTAGGCCAATATTATAAAATCACAAATTTGCCTCAAGGCTTTACAATCTGTACAGCATACCATCCTATCCTTAGACACTCAAATGTAGAGATCAAATTTATTTCAAGACTTTTGAGGGTTTAAACTAATACAAATGGGATGTAAATTGTGTCTGCTATCCAAAACTTACAGACAGGGAAAGTAAGGATGGCAGGCGGCATGTTGACAATGCCGTGGCTTTGAAAGCTTTGTTTCCACTCCGGCATCATCAACCAAAGCCAGTCAGTTTGGAGGGGTGTATGCTAGTGTAAAGGCGATTTCATTGGTGCACAGCCATTCAGTTAAAGGTCTTTTGGCATAGAAGTACACAAAGCACCCTAGTGACAGAAATGTCTGGTATTTGCAAACCTTGTATGCTACCCTATTAGGGCAGTTCTTCCCTAAGCCAAGGGGGGGTGAGATAACGCGTAACAAATTGTACATATCCTTATAGGAAATCCGTCCACTGTGGAAAAGAACAAGCACATAAATAAACAAAAGCTCAAGACAGCTTGAAATAAAACAATTATCATTAGTGGGCTGACTGCATACAACAACCAATAGGAACAAGGGCTGTGCATAAGGCCTCACTTAGCCACCTTATTCACAAACAGGGAAGAGAGGAGCAAAGTTTTACCCCACTTTACTTTGTATGCTACTCTCTGGGGCCCAGAGGGAGGCGTGAACATACCATGCAGCTGGGTCGTACTCGGCCCAAACCCGGATGAACTCATCGAGGTGATGAGGCCCCAGGATGGAGGAGTCTCTGGTCAGGTACTCAAAGTTATCCATTATGACTGCTACGAACAGGTTCAGCATCTGGAACAGAGTTTACGCCTGTGATTTAGCCCAGTCACAGCAACATTTAAACAGTCATTTGGAATGTATTAATTCATCTCAGAGCAAATCTGCATTAATCTTTTGTGTCAAGTTTGACTTGGCGAATTTCAAGTTGTGCCGCTAAACAATGGCAGCCATCTTTAAAGTGCTGACTTTTGAGGGAACAGAGAGCTGTAGGATCCACAGCTAGAGACTTATATTTTAGCATTTAGCTAGGTTGCAACATCCACTGGTATAACATCTTGCTCTGTCTGAGTATACAGTAAACCACTTCACAAAAGAGGCATGGCTTAAAAGAAGACATGATGAGACAAATATGTAATTTAAATAAACTGAATAAACTAGCAATCAAGCTCCAGTAATCCAGTTAGCTCCTGTTGACCTGCAAATATAGAGCAACTTTTCTGACACTGAGACTGAAGTTATTTTGGGTGAAGTGGAGTTGAGAAAAATATTTCATTTTATTTTATTTTACATATATTATATTTCATTATTTTATTATTAGTGCTGTGACAGGGACAGGAAAATCAAAGGCGTGGAAGGAGGTAACGCGTGCTGGTAACTCCATGTCCTAGAATGACTCAAGAAGTTTAACAAATATGGTTCAATATGAAATTTGATGCCAAAATGCTCAAGTACACACAAAAAACACAACAGCTATGGGAGGAGGCTCTTCCTTGTCACAGCTGCAGATGAGCGCATTGCTTACATCATCAGAGAGACCTCTCTGTCAGGAACTATTCCTGATGGAGACAACAACATGCCTCCACGGGAGCAGTTGATAGGAAGTGTTTGGTCAGTAGATGGGTCTCACAGTCTCACCACTCAAACAGAAGATGAATTTGTGGAGTTCTCTCTCCTGATTAAATCAAGTGGGAAGGGGATGTTAGAAATGTAGAAAACACATGCATTAAGTTATTTAAATAATGCATTCACATTTTTAAAAAAACACTAATGTGAGGCTTAATTGGGAATTATTTTTTAAGATATTTTTTGGGGCATTTTGCCTTTAATTGACAGGACAGACAAGTGCGAAAGGGGGAGAGAGAGAGAGGGAGCGACATGCAGAAAAAAGGGCCACGGGCCGGAGTCGAACCCGGGCCGCTGCGGCAACAGCCTTGTACACGGGGCATGTGCTCTAACCACTAAGCCACCGACGCCCCGACATTGGGAATTTTGAGTTTGAGTTTGTCAATAGCAAGTGTTCAACAACCTGGGCTTTTCTACAAAGCCAACGTGTCACATCTGACAGAATAAATCAGGCCAACAGTTAGAGTGGCTACATAACAGTAGGAGTGTTTCAGTGCTGACCAGGAAGGAGCAGAGGAAGATAAAGGAGACAAAGTAGAAGTAGGCGAAATCACTGCCGCATTCTTTCCCATGGGACCCTGATCGCTCGTCACAGGCTCGATGACTCAAACACGATAACATGATCTCATGCCAGGCCTCGCCAGTTGCACTCCTGATGCACAGAAAATCACAGACAAACAGAGAGGAGACATAAAGGACTGGCAACATTTTGCAGGTCCATGGTTAAGCTTTAACAACATTAAACAGACATGGTTGTACTCTGTGCTGCTTTTTAAAGTGAAGGGAAAATTTAATTACTTCTGACTGACTTGCAGAGAAAGTCAGATAATGTAGACTCAACAGAGGTTGGCTTTGTAGGAAAGTGTGCTTGATACAAAATTAATTTGGTTGGCAAATGTTTTATGTTGCTTTAACAATGTCTTACTTAAAGCCTCTTAAAACTTTCATATTTCAGATATTTCTCTATAATATTCATGATTACATAAGCAACAATCAATGATAAGTTGGAGAAAAGAAAGGACACAGACATTACTGCTAAATAATAATTTAATAAATAAAATCCCATATATATACAGTACAGGCCAAAAGTTTGGACACACCTTCTCATTCAATGCATTTTCTTTATTTTCATGACTATTTACATTGTAGATTCTCACTGAAGGCATCAAAACTATGAATGAACACGTGGAGTTATGTACTTAACAAAAAAAGGTGAAATAACTGAAAACATGTTTTATATTCTAGTTTCTTCAAAATAGCCACCCTTTGCTCTGATTACTGCTTTGCACACTCTTGGCATTCTCTCCATGAGCTTCAAGAGGTAGTCACCTGAAATGGTT